GAGCTGCAGGGCTGGGGCGCGCCGGGCGGGCTCCGCGCCTCCGGGAGGCACGGCCTGGAAAGGCTCTGAGCGCTAGGGTAAGGCTGCGGGGGCGGCTGCAGAAACGGCTTCGCCGGGAGGAAGCTGCATCAGGGCCCGGATCTGGGTCCCCCCAACCCGCACGTCCCGCCCTCCGCCTTCGCTCCAGCCCCTCCCGCAGCCCGGGGCGCGGGGAGCGCATCGGACTCACCTGGGACCGCGCGGAGCTGCCGGCAGGAAACGCCACCCGGCGGGGCTGGGAACCAAGACCCGGATCAAGGTCGGGAATTAGATTGTTCTGGCCATCAGAAAAGCGCTGAGTGTTTGCATAACTTACCAAAAAACACTCGTTAAATTACACAATTACTCAGGTCTTGGCCATGTGCTTACAGAGGGGAGACGTCTGGTGTGACAAATGGAAATGCACTTTGAGAGAGATTGAAATGAAAACGTACTCGGACAAACCCAGCTCAAGTCTTTGCCCCTCTGAAATTGTTATCAGGGGACTCGCTGATGTGGGGTGTTTTTTCTTTTTCTTTTCCTTTTCGGTGCAGAAAAATCTGTCAAACGTGTGTGAGTGTGTATGTGTGTGTGTGTGTGTGTGTGTGTGTGTGTTTCAGTTTTTTTCCTTTAACTTCATTTTTTTAGTTTGCAAGTACAAAGAATAAGACTGTGTTCCACAGAAGTTTATGACGTACACACAGATTTTAGCAAGAGCATGGATAGCTTAAATTTATATGGAGGAACTGAACAAAAATTCAACTAGGGGATTATTTCTCTTAAGGTGAAAGGATGGATGTAGGAACCCTCCAGGTTTGTGCATGAGGAAGCGGAGACGGGGGTGAAAAAGGACTCCCCCTTCCTTCCTAGTTCCCCTATCACACCAGCCCTTAGAACAGGTGAGTGAGGTCGGTCATATTGTTACAATAAGCTTGTTGCGAGCCCCAGCGAGATAAGGGGTGGGGGGTGGGGGGCGGTGGCCAGGCTGGTGCCCAAGCAGTACTGTATATGTGACCTTTCAGGAGAAGCAAAGTGTGGTTGGAAGCGAACCTGCCATGAGCAGGTGGCAAATTGTGGAACTCAAGGGCCTGCTGGAGAGACAGGGGTAGTCCAGACTGTCTTCCGGGGAGAGGAACCTGGATGTGGCAGGGCCTGGTGCCTGGGAGGCAGAGTGGGCGGAGCTTGGGATCGGAGCAGAAATGCTTGTGCTGAGAAGGGACAAAGAGCGCTGGCACCAGTGATTCCCTATTCTTCTATGTCCTTCCCACAGAGCACTCAGCCTTTGCTTTCATTAAATGTTCAGCCAATATTTAAAGAATGTCAACTTGATATTTGGTACCGAATTACTTGCCTAAGTGTCTACGTCCAGGCGTGAGGATGGGCAGAAATCATCTTAAGTGGAGGAATATGGAAGGCAAGAGGGAGACTCCATAGTGGCACGCCCTCCGTCCAGAAAACGAGTTAGAAACCACAAGAAGGTTAATATTTTGATTCCAGAGAGCCACAGGCTGACTGCATTTCACATTCACAACTGCTCTGGCCGTCAGACCTGCCCTGCCCGCTCATGGAGGCCAGTGGCCCACTGCTGCTCCCTGGGAATATCAGATCTTTGAGCATTATCTAGTCTTTGGTACAAACATGGTCTCAGAGACACCCTGAAGTGAACACCTGTAAGATGAGAGCGTAGGTAAAGTAAAATCCCATGGCAGAAGCTAAAATAAAATCTTGAACAATATGGTGCAGGTTAATGTTTAGCTTTTAGACCCATGGCATGGAAGAAAGATTATTAGAACTCAGGTTTGTATAAAGGTGAAAGGAGGCAGAGTGGTTTCTGAGGAGTCAACAGACCTAAGAGCTGGGCAAAAGTTTGGTATGAGAATGTCAAAATAAAGCTTTGGGGAACAAGGAAAGCAGCTACAGCTGTGAAGGCAAAGCAGCAGTGCAAGCCTTAGCCAACTCTGTGCGAGATCAGACTGAGCCCTACATGGAAAAGCTGCTCCACAAAGGGGAGCGATGCAGCCACAGAGAGAAGGAAGACTGTGGCTCAGGGCAGACACTGAGCTCCAGGTGAGTGGCAGTGGTGTAATTAACAGCCAGGGGGACCTGAACAGAACTGGGTTAAGAGAGGAGCGATGAGACTGACTCTTCAAAGAATGGCTCCTCAGAATCCCATGGAGAGCCAGATCCCAGGCTGAACCCCCTGGGTTCCTGCACAATGGCTGTGTAGGACCCCGCCCTGCAGAGGAAAGTGTAGGGAGCTAAGCATGTCTGCCTGGGGGTCCTTCAGCTAGTGAAATGGAATGAAGATCTTGGGAGCCAGAGTGGGCATCTTTCCTCCCGCTACCACTACCAATTCTGATACCCTTGGTGTCATAATCATGGACATTAGCCACACGCTTCAGGTATCTTGTCATTTTTCTATTTCAAAAACTTTGTTTTACTAACTTTGAGGTGTTACAAGGAAAGGGAAGGGACTAATACATATTGCACACCTGCCTGTCAAGTCATATTTTTTTCAGTAACTTTTCAAAACAACCTGTAGTAGGTAAGTATTGTCATCCCCATCCTACAAGTGAGGAGACTGAGGCTCAAAGAGGTAAAGTAACAAGTTCACTTCCCAGAGTGAGGTAATAATAGAGCCAGGATTCAAACCCACTGTGTCTCACACCAGCAGCCCTTTGGATTTTGCACCACCCACAATGTTTCTCACAGAGTACCAGTGTTGGGTTGTCGCTGTCCATGGTAGTCTTTCTTTATACCATTCAATTCTGAATTATGCCTAAATCCAATGGCTCCAAAGTCCCAAATGCCTACCTGTTGTTATACATACTGTCACCTTTGGAGAAAGATGGATTCAGACAGTTCCTTATACAGACATGATTCCACCTGTGTCATGTGACTCTGAAGCCTGGCCATGATGATATGACAAGGGACAACTAAATCAGTGCTTCTCGAACTTCAAAGAGTAAATGTATCAACTGCGGTTCTTCCATGATGATCAAATAAGGGACAGTTAGACCTGTGCTTCTCGAACATTACTGTGCTTATGAATCACTGGGGCTCTTTTTCACAGGCAAATTCTGACTCAGTAATTCTGGGGTGGGGGTCTAAGATTCTGCATTTCTAACAAACTTCCAAGTAAGACCAGACCACACTTTGATTAACAATGGTAGACCATTGGCTTATGAGGAGGATCAAAGACCATCCCCCTCCATGCTGATGGCTTTTAACCAACACATCAAGTCACTGTTGTTGATGAGTTTTGACACCAGACATACAAATAAAAAGGCTGGCTCAGCAGTAGAGTCAGACACAGAAAGAAAAGGAATCAAGACTCAAGAAGAGCAATTAGAACAGATAGTAATGCATATCCCTTCTGAGAGGTCCTAGCCCAAGTGCTAGGAGCTAAGGAAGTCACTGGGCAGGAGAGACAGGGTGGGGAGGGGTAAGGAGAGAGAGAAGACAGAGAATCTTGGGAGAATTAGTGATATCATGGCACATGCATCAGGTGCCAACATGAAGAGTGTAAACAAATAAATACAATGCTTCATAAATTTCACTGATCTTGGAAAATTTTTTTCACAAGAATGTACTTCATATTTCCAAATATAGCCTAGAGATTTAAGACATTGCTGCTGTGGTAAGTGGATGTGATGTTGGCACTATTGCTGGTTTTACATAATGAAATTTAAGATGCCATTTTATTAAAATATCTCAATTTTATTCAAAAAATAAACAACTTACTTGATAACATTACCTGAATTTTATTGAAAAGCTTCTGCTTTCTTGGTTTAACTTGTGGAGAAGAGGTCTAATATTGTCCTACCCAGGTATCCCGAATCCTAATCAACATTATAGCTGGAAGTCAGTATGTCACCATAAGGCGCCTTTGCCTATCTACTTTCTGATTCACTGGACTTGGGCATTTTATAAATCATTATATAACTCTCAGAAAACATGTCCTACAAGATTGACTTGATGCTAAGAAAGGGTATGCAAATAATAACCAGGCTCAAATGAGTGAGGAGCAGTTGAGAAGGTGGGTCATGAGAAGCATTTGGGGATTTTGAGCTTGGGCAGTATATTAGTTGGCTACGCTGCCATAACAAAGTACCACAGACTGTGTGGCTTAAACAACAGAAATTGTGTCATAGTTCTGGAGGTTAGAAATCTGTGATCAAGGTGTTGGCAGGGTTGATTTCTTCTGAGGCCTCTCTCTCTGGCTTGTTCATAACCATCTTTTCCCTGTGTCTTTACATGGTCTTTCCTCTGTATGTCTGTGTCCTAATCACCTCTTCTTAATAAGGACACTAATAATATTGATTTAGGGCCACCTGAATGACCCCCTTTTCCTTAACTACTTCTTTAAAGGCCCCCTCTCCAAATATGTCAAATTTTGAGGTACTGAGGGTTAGGACTTCAACATATGGGTTTTAGGGGACACAATTCAGCCCATAACAGACATCCTATAGAATCCCAAGTTGGAGATGGCCAGTGGCAACTGAACGTGTGAGTTTAGAGAAGAAATCTGGGCCTGGGATCAAGACGACT